GCAGATTTTAATTTCGTTAGAGGAAAACCACCTGTGGCTCTGTGAGAGCCAAGGTTGGTTGAGTTAGGCTCCCAAAATGGAGTGGAAAGAGAGCATCAGATATATTGGAGGAGGAGGAGGAGGAGGAGGAGGAGGAGACAAGGAGAAGAGATGGAGAAGGGATGGAGGAGGAGAAGGGATGGAAGAGGAGGAGGAGGAGAGGGATAGAGGAGAAGAAGGAGAAGGGATGGATGAGGAGGGATGGAGGAGGAGGAGGAAGAGAAGAAAGAGAAAGAGGGGATGAAGGAGGGGGAGGAGGAGAAAGGAGGAGGGATGGAGGAGGGGGAGGAGAAGGGATGGAGGAAGAGAAGGAGAAGCGATGGAGGAGGAGGAGGAAAAGTGATGCAGGAGAAGGAGGAGAGGAGGAGAAGGGATGGAGCTGCAGGCGGAGGGAAAGGAGGAGAAAGAATGGAGAAGAGGAGGAAGAGAAGAAAGAGAAGGAGAAGGAATGGAAGAGGAGAATCGATGGAGGAGAAAAATGGATGGAGGAGGAGAAGGAGAGAAGAAGGAGCAGAAGGAGGAAGAAGAGGAAGAGGAAGAAAGAGTAAGGGAAGGTGCTGGCTGGGGAATTCTGGGAGTTGAAGTCCATAAGTCTTAAAATTCCCATGGTGGGTCAGCCCTCTAAGTCATTTAAGGACCTTCAACATCAGGACTAAGCCCTCGAAGCTTAACCCGGAGCCCCTAGGAAGCCTTCAATGAACTTCCTTGAAGACCACGCCGGGTGGATTCCGAGACCAGATTCTGTGAGCTAAGCTACACACACACACACAGGCTATCCACTCAGCTAAATATTCCACCTCCAGAAGAGTAAAATAATAGCGATGCCCCCAGAATTAAAGAAAAGTGGCCGATAAACCAGCCACCCCTGGCCAGATGTTCTTTGGATCCCCGATGGACAGAGGAGACCAAGCATCGTGTCCGGAATGAGTTATTTGGGTAGGTTCGTGAGTCAACCGTTCACCACACTTCCATCATATCAAGAGTTTATATAACGTCATTTGAGGTGTGTCCCCCATTTCTAAACATTGATCTGACACCTCCATCTGCTCGTCTCACCCAGGTGGGAGGAAGCACAGTCCTCGCTGCCAATCACTTGCTAGTGACAATCCCGTGTAGCCCGATTCGTTGTGGTGCAACAAATCGGGAAGGGCAGCTCCCGGAAGCACTGGTTTTACTGGGAATTCTGGGAGTTGAAGTCCCACATCTGGGCGATCCAACTAGAAGCACGAAGAGGTCTTTTACGGAAATCTACCACAACCTGCCTAACACGGGCCAAGTAAAAATGCCCTTGTAGTTATTCTGTAGTAACACGAAGCAAGCCATGACCTTGAAGAGGTGCTGAAAGATATAGGGAGAATAATAGAATTCTGTTCTTTTTTTTTTTCTCCCTAAGGGACACCATCTCCCAAGGTGACCAAAGCTATTGAGGTGCTGACTCCAGTTCTGAAATCGGATTGGAATTGGTTCCAAAGCACCCGAAGTCAGGACGAGAAACAAGGGATGGAAACTCACCAAGGAGAGAAGCAACCTAGAACTAAGGAGAAACTTCCTGACAGGGAGGTATGGAGTATGAAGTATGGAGGTATGGAGGTATGTGGTATGTAGGTATGGGGTATGGAGATATGGTGCTATGGGGTATGGAGGTTGTATGGACTATAAAGGTATGGAGTAAGGAGGTATGGAGGATGTAGTATGGTGGTATGGAGGATGGAGGGATGGAGGATGGAGGTATGGAAGTATGGAGGTATGGAGGTATGAAGGATGGAGGATGGAGGATGGAGATATGGAGATATGGAGGATGGAGGTATGGAGGATGGAGGTATGGAGGATGGAGGTATGGAGGATGGAGGT